AAAGACGAAGTCTTCACTCATTCCTTTCTATTGCCTTGATTCAGTTATCTCTTTTCTCATAACTGATCTTTAAAGAGGGTTGTGTATTAATCAAGAATCAAGTATCAACCATCATTTGGATGCTATCCCAGAATCTACATGATTCATCTTATATGACATTACAAAACAATGAATTTAAATAAAAGTTCTTAATCATTAATGTAAATGCTTCTTCACTGAAAGGTTGATTGCTTATCACAAAAGTATAGATTAGAAAGAAAAAAATATTTCGGGTCTAAATTCCTGTGTACATTTATTAAATACATATTACCTTTTCCATGACTAACTTCAAAACTATTCTCTCAGTTGCAAATTTCCACAGTCGAGATACACATATTTATTAAATTATGCTGTTTCTAATTTTAGGAAAGTGGATATTTTTTTCCCCCACTGAAAGTGGTGGTTTAATAAGATTTAAGAAAAAACTGTAAAAAAATAACCTGTTTGTTGTTAGTGCTCCCAATAATTTGCTCTTAAGAGAAAAGGAAAAAAGAACCTGCATTTTAAAGTTGAATTCAACTGCTTGAATACATTTTCTGTTCAATTTTCTTGGTAACAGGCCTTTACCTTTTACTTTTTTCAGGATCTTTTTGTTTTATTTCCCTGACTGTCATACTGTTGGTCTCCCATCCAGGACCTAACAAGGCCTAATTTAGCTTTTTGAGGCTTACTATAATTGTCTGGCTGAGGAATTCTAGGAGTTGATGGTCACAAGCCTTAAAATTGCCAAGTCTGGAGGCCCCTGCTCCAGATAGACTTTAACTTTGTGGTTGTTTATTTTTGATTTGCTTTTAAAGAAAGAATATTTTACCTTCAACAATCCCAACCCTTCATTTGATTCCCATAGTTAACACAATAACAGTGCATGACCATAATTCTGAATTAGTACTGTGAACCTCTGATTGCAAGAAAATTTTTCCCATGTTTTCTTTTGAGAAGCATAATAAAGAGTTATAAGGATTTACTATTTTAGTATTCTCTACTTGGAGTTTCAGTGTCAAATATAGTCCAAGAGGAATCACATGCAGTTAGGCGTGACTAAATGTGGACTATTATACACAATCAGATTAGCAACTGAATACACTTTCCCATTCCCTTTTGACACATTTGATTAAATTGGAGTATCAAGTCAGTTGCCTAAGCAGCAAATGGTTCCTCCCGCCCTGTACATATATATATACACAACCCAATTTCTAAAAAAAAAAAAAATGTGTGTAGGAAGTGGTTATGAAAAGTATTTCACTTTCAGAAAGGAAGGGCACTTCATAGGAAAAAATAAGTGCTAACATTTTGATGAACAAATATTTTGATGTTCCAAACTACCACATTAAATAATAACTACCATCACTATTATATTAAAAAAAAAATCTCTTCTCAACCTGTGTGTATATGTGTCTTCCCCAGTCTGAGGCCTGGGAGTTTGAGGTTTCTACACAATATCCTAGCTGTTCTTAGCACTTCATCCTTCTATATAGAAAGCTCTGATGTTGTCCCTGGGATCTATTGGAACCACTGTCCCAGTTTAGGAGTCACAGTCCCAAATGCTTCTACCACCACTGGAACCATAGGCTGAGGCCAGGAACAGCTATAAATATTTTCCCTCCAGAAATTTAATAGATTAGATAGATAGATAGATAGATAGATAGATAGATAGATAGATAGATAGATAGATAGAT